CTCCAAGGGCTCGACCTCTGGAGTTCGTGAGGCCACAAAGTCCTTTTGAGATTGGGCCGATTCAGACAGGTCAGGTGGGGGCACGCCTTTGCCATTTTCGGCATGTCTGGGTGACTGCAATCCGGGACGCCTGGGCTGTCAACACAATATTTTTAGGGCATGCCTGGGCCTTCAAGAGCCCTCTTCATCTCAGGTTCACCCCTACGGTCCAGAAGAGAAACGGGGTCTGGAGGCCTCACCCATCTAAATTCTTTTATCAGGAAGTCAAAATTCAAGGTGGAGACACTGTTTGCAATTCAACAAGCAGGCGACTGGCTCCCCTTTGGGCTTTCGACATTGCCTTGGGTGTTTTCAAAAGTCTTGTTAGCATTCGTGGCCCTGATCAGAATCAGAGGCCTTCGTCTGCACCACTACCTAGACGACCTGCTCCTACTGTCCCAGGACAGAGTACAGCTACTACAGCACAGAGCCCACATCATCTAGACCCTTCTCGAATTTGGGTGGTTGCTGGATTTGGGGAAGAGCGAGTTGGAGCCCACGCAGTCTCTAATATTCCTCGAAGCTCATTTCGACACGATCGGAGCCACCATCTCCCTGCCTGTGGATGAAGATTCCAGTGATCCGGAGCCGAATAGTACCTGCCCTGTCTTCCTCACATCTTCGGGCCCTCCAATGCCTGAAGATCATTGGCACCATGGTGTCCACAGCGCCGATGGTGAAGTGGGCACAGTGGAGAATGCGACCCTTCTAGAAGGGCTTTCTTCAACAGTGGATTCCAGGCAGCACGGGCCAGGTCATTGACATTTCTCCCTCCATGAAGGAGAGCCTTCCTTGGTGGCTGCAGCGGAAGAACTTGCTCAATTGCCATTCGATTGCCCCCATCTCCTTGGTCACAATCACTACGGATGCCAGCAATTCCGGATGGGGTGCTCTCTGCCAGTCAGAGATAGCTCAGGGCAGAGGGAGCTTTCCCTTCCCATAGGTTGAGGTCAAACGTTCTGGAATTACGAGCGGCGCTCTGTACCCTGCAGGCCTTCCAGCACCTAACACAGGGGAAATCAGTTCTCCTGAGGTCTGACAATATGACGGTAGTGTCCTGCATAAGGAGACAGGGAGGGACCCACACCCTGTCCCTCTTGCAAGAGGTAGAGCCAATCATGGCTTGGGCCCAGAGAAACCTGTCCAACATATCAGCAGTATACATCCCTGGAGTCCAAAACTCACAAGCAGGGTTCAATTGGACAATAAGTGGACTCTCAACACAGAGATTTTCAAGTGGATACTGACCCGCGGGGTCAGTCCAGAAGTCAACCTGTTCACCTCCCTGTGCAACAGCAAACTGGGGATGTTCCACACCAGGAATCGCTGTCCCCATGCCTTCGGGGTAGATGCTCTCACAGATCATTGGGGGTTTCGCGCAGTCTATGTGTTTCCCCCGGACCCTGTCATCTTTAGGTTGGAGGCCTTAGGCTGTCCAGCTGAAATCTTGCCTACCCTGATGAATGCTAGAAGACCAAGTACCAACAGGGTCTATGGAAGAGTCTGGTCTAAGTTCGTATACTATATCCTGACCATAGATGGATCCTTTAGTAATCCAAGGGTTCAGGATGTCCTTCAGTCAGGCCTGGACCTGCCCGTTCAGCAATTCTTCAAACGGGCAGTAAGGTTAATGCCCCAAAGGAAACCGAGGTTCCCAAAAAGCTTGTCCTCAACTTCTTCTCTGGAGGCGTGCCAGAATCAACTGGGCCTCCCATAGTGAGGGAGCTCTCCATCAAGGCAGCTTTCTGGTGGCAGTTACATTGGCAAAAAGAGTCTCCGAAATCGGGAACCTTGGCTTTAAAGAGCCGTTTTTGACATTCGATCAAGTGGTCCTCATCCCTATGCTAGGTTCTAATCCTACAGTGACCTCGGTCTTCCACGAGAACCAAGAAACTGTCCTTCCAACATTTAGAGCCTCAGGAGTAGATGCTCACCCCCTGGACATAGGTGAGACCTTAAGGCTATACTTGCGGGTCACAGCATCCTTACGCAGGTCGGACCATCTATTCATCCTTTTCCATGGGAAGAGTAAAGGAGACTGAGCATCTTCCAGGCCAACCAAATGACCTTCAGAGCTAAGGACTTGGCGTCTCTGGAGGCAGTGACCACACACTCAACCAGAAGTGTGGCTACATCCTGGGGGGCTTCCTAGCATGTCACCCCTGAAGTGATCTGCAGATCAACCTCATGGTCCTCAATCAACACTTTTATGGCTCATTACTGTGTAGAGCCTGCCTCCTTATCCTCTGTTAACCTCCTTAGCGGTTTTCCCGAGTGTAGCTCGGGGTAAAATTTCAATACCGAGAGCGGTAACCCCGAGCTACACTCGGGCTTACCATGCGGCGTTGCTCAGGGGGTCCCTGCAGCACTTACCTTGTCCTTCGCTCCTGCGATGTGTCCCTGGCAGCGTCCCCGGCCATCTCCTCCAGCCGATGCCGGCTTCCGTGTTCCGGTCCCTGTGACGTCGGGACGTACGGGCGCCAGAACCGGCAGGAAATTTGAAATTTTTAAAAAATGTCATTTTTGCTGTCATTGCTGTTTCAATGCATTTCACATACATTTTGTCCCGAGGGCGCCTGCATTTTGACTGTTCTTTCTGCCTGGAAAGTCCATGGCGTCCAAAAAGCGTCCCTTTACGTCAAAAGCGGTTTTAGAACAGCGATAGTAAATCAGAACCACTTGCAGAATTGAGTGATAATGATTTGTGGGGAAATTTGTCATCAGATACTGAAAACAATTTTGCGACTTTGCTCAGCGATGTGCGAATTTGCCTCTGTATTTCAAATTTCAGTGTTTTTGGTTTGATTATATTATTGAATCAAATTTATTATTATTATATTATTATTTTTTATGATTATTTATTACATTATAATTTATGATTTCGTGTTTCAAGTTTTATCATATCCAGAATGTTTACTAGACTCTTGTTCGTACAGATTTCAGTGAGTTATTCCTAAAAATTACAGCCTACAATAAAAAACTACATATTTCCATGCAAAAAAATGGTACCGCTTTCAGCACAAAAAATCGGAAAGAATCATACCGCCGAGGAGGTTAATTTTGGTTTGAAAGTCCTGTTAGTTGACAGGGCAAATTAAAGTCTTTGAGAAACTGCCCACCCGTGTGTGTATGGCTAGTTATTTCCCATACATATGCTGCCTTGGAGTCTGTCAGGAAAACGGAAAATTTCCTATCAAATATTTACCGTAATTTTCTTTTCCTGATGGACTCCATGGCAGCAGTAGTACCCTCCCAATGCCAGGAGAAGGCTAGTTATGGAACACGCCCTCTGGCAACTGTCAGTTCGTGGGGAAAAAAAGGACGTAAATTTAATTTGGGTGCAGCGTTGCATGACTGTGCAATTGTCAGTTAATGTAACGCAGCGCCGCAATGCAAAAAATGGCCTGGTCAGGAAGGGGGGTAAATCCTCAGGAGGGCAAGTGGTTAATTTTTAGCATGATAAAGTCTTGAATGCTGTCTGCCAGTTTCCAACTGCCCAGGATCCATCAGTATTTGAGGCCAAGCGTCAAAATTTTATACTTTTGTGGTACTAAGTAATGACGTAATTCCATTGGGTGGAATGTCAGGTGTGAGCACTTCCCGCTCACTTTCCCACTAAATAGCATTATGGAAGTATCTTCCTGCTGCTGTTCCTGCTATGAGAGCCATGTGGAATTTCAATCCCTAACCTGTTCGTTGTGCCCACCTGCAGTGAGGCTTGTTCGCCTCTTGTCTGCTCAACCCTTGAGTCTTGGGCATTGTCTACCAGCTGCCTAAATTCCATGAGTACTCTAGACCTAGCTTCCTATCTTGAGCCTGTACATTGTTTAGTGCGGCTTTAGCATGTCTGATAATAGACATAGAGATGACAGTCTGGCTGTACCAGGTGTCCCCAGCACATTGCCTATCAAGAGATTGGGGTCTTTCTCCAGCACATTTTTGATAGTGCTGACGCCTGTATTGTAGAATCATGTTGCCCATTAGTGTATGAGTCTATCCTCTCCTCAGAGTCCTCTCTGGCTTTGGCAGGTGTTGCCGCTCCCTCTCAGAGGTGGTGTTTGCTACAGTCAAGACTGTTGCAGAGTGCCCAGCTAGTCTTTGACCATGGCCGTGACTGTGCATTCCCCTGTAGACTTGGTCTTGAGGCTGGAGAAGAAAAGGTGAATGCTACCATCAGTCCTGTGTCATGCCAACAGTAAGACCATTCATGTGTGGGGTTGCTTCTCAGCCAAGGGAGTGGGCTTACTCTCAATTTTGCCTAAGAACACAGCCATGAATAAAGAATGGTACAAAAACATCCTCCGAGAGCAACTGCTCCCAACCATCCAAGAACAGTTTGACAACAAACAATGCCTTTTCCAGAATGATGGAGCACCTCGCCATAAGGCAAAAGTGATAACTAAGTGGCTTGAGGAACAAAACATTGAAACTCTGGGTCCATGACCTTAATCCCATTGAGAACTTGTGGTCAATCCTCAAGAGGCAGGTGAACAAAAAAAATCCCAAAAATTCTGTCAAAGCATTGATTATTCAAGAATGGGCTGCCATCAGTCAGCATGTGGCTCCGAAGTTGATTGACAGCATGCCAGGGCAAATCCCACCCTTCTATGTTTATAACTGTGACTTTGATACCGTGTTTCCCCGAAAATAAGACCTACCCCAAATATAAGACACATTGCAGCCTGGATCATTCTCGGGTCCCCCACCGGTGCTCCTGGCCCCTCTCTCCTGTCGGGTGCCCTCACAGCAAGCAGCTTGCTATGGGGGCACCCAAGCATGCGCACTCCCCAGCTGCTGCTCCATGTATCCATTCACACACAGAGCTGCGTCTCAGCCCCGTCCCCTCTTCTTATTGGCTTGCAGCGGGAGCCAATGAGGAGAGGGAGTCCCAGGATAGCTGAGACTCCAGTGCACATCGCTGGATCTAGGTGGGGGGCTGCTGCACAGAGAAGGTGTTTTACCTTCGTGCATAGAATGCTTGAAGGTAAAAAAAAACCTTGTCATTTTATGTGGCCTACCACTTTGTGGCTAAGTTTCTGTTGTTCCCAGTTGCTTCCACTTTGTTATAATACCACGAACAGTTGGCTGTGGAATATTTAGTAGCAAGTACATTTCATGGATAGACTTATTGCACAGGTGGCAACTTATTACAGTACCACACTTGAATTCACTGAGCTCCTGAGAGCGACCATTCTTTCAGAAATGTTTGTAGAAGCAGTCTGCATGCCTAGGTGCTTGGTTTTATACATCTGTGGCTATGGAGGTGATTGGAACACCTGGATCCAATGATTTGGATGGGTGTCCCAATATTGTTTGGCAATATAGTGTATATATTAGAACCAGTATAGCAGGCCTGAATAGGGTTGTCTGATGTCTACTTCAATATGTATACTTGATCTGTATAATACACAGTACTTTACCTTATTTACATATGTTTTTATATACAGCGGGTAAAATAACTATTGAATACGTCACCATTTTAAATATATTTCTAAAGGTACTATTGACATCAAATTTTTCCCACCTGTCAATAACAACCCATTCAAACCATACATACAAAGAAACCAAAACAAATAAGTTCAGAAATTAAGTTATGTGTAATAAGATGGAATGACACAGGGAAAAAGTAATTAGAAAGCAATCATGGGCCTTGTCAGTGCAAATTAATATCAGCTTGTTCAGTCTCAACTGATGGCCTATAAAAAGGTGTCTCATTTCCAAGGTGTCAAACAAGAAACATCTCATGATGGGTTAAGCAAAGAGCTCTCTCAAGACCTTCGCAACCTTATTGTTGCAAAATATACTAATGGCATTGGTTACAGAGCGGATTTCTAAACTTCTGAATGTTTCAGTGAGCACTGTTGGGGCCATAATCCAAAAGTGGAAAGAACATCGTTTCACCATAAACCAGCCATGACCAGGTGCTCCTTGCAAGATTTCTGCCAGAGGAGTGAAAAGAATTATCAGAAGAGTTGTCCAAGAGCCAAGGACCACTTGTGGAGAGCTTCAGAAAGACCTGGAATTAGCGAGTAGAATTGTTTCAAAGAAACTCAACTGCCATGGACTGTATGCACGTTCACCACGCAAGACTACATTGCTGAAGAAAAAGCATGTTGAAGCTCGTTGAATGTTTTCGGCACAACATTTAGCCAAGCCTGTGAAATACTGGGAGAATATAGTCTGGTCAGATGAGACCTAAATTGAACTCTTTGGATACCATATTATACACCATGTTTGGAGGTCATGTGGCACTGCACATCATCCCAAAACACCATACCAACAGTGAAGTTTGGAGGTGGGAACATCATGGTGTGGGGCTGTTTTTCAGCATACAGTACTGGCAAACTTCATGTGACTGAAGGAAGGATGAATGGAAAAATGTACCAAGACATTGCTGATAAAAATCTGCTGCCATCTACCAGGATGATGAAGATGAAACAGGGGTGGACATTTCAGCAAGACAATGATACCAAACACAAAGCCAAGGAAACTCAACTGGTTTCAAAGAAAATAAAGCTGCTAGAATGGACCAGCCAATCACCTGACTTGAATCCAATAGAAAATCTATTTTCTACTATTACTAAAGATCAGCGTTTATAAAAAGAGGCCCATGGAACCTTCAGGATTTGAAGACTGTGGGCCAAAATCACACCTGAGAAATGTTTGCGACTAGTTTCTCCATACAGGAGGCGTCTTGAAGCTGTCATTACCAACAAAAGATTTTGTACGAAGTATTACATAAATTTCAGCTGTCATTTTCAATACCTTTTTCTCTGTGTCATTCCATCTTATTACACATAACTTAATTTCTGAACTTATTTGTTTTGGTTTCTTTGTATGTATGGATTACATGGGCTGTTAACGATACATGCTGAAAATTTCATGCCAATAGCACCTTTTAGAACTATATTTACCGTGAAAAATGTTGACATGTTCATTACTTATTTTACTCAATGTAAATACTGCAGAACTTTATGAAGGTTAATCAGCTCTCATCTTCCTTTTTTATATAATATATTAAAATAATATTTTTATTTTACAGAGACATGTACAGTGGGGATCGAAAGTTTGGGCACCCCAGCTAAAAATTTGTATTAATGTGCATAAAGAAGCCAAGGAAAGATGGAAAAATCTCCAAAAGGCATCAAATTACAGATTAGACATTCTTATAATATGTCAACAAAAGTTAGATTTTATTTCCATCATTTACACTTTCAAAATAACAGAAAACAAAAAAATGGCATCTGCAAAAGTTTGGGCACCCTGCAGAATTTATAGCATGCACTGCCCCCTTTGCCAAGCTGAGACCTGCCAGTGTCATGGATTGTTCTCAATCATCGTCTGGGAAGACCAGGTGATGTCAATCTCAAAGGTTTTAAATGCCCAGACTCATCTGACCTTGCCCCAACAATCAGCACCATGGGTTCTTCTAAGCAGTTGTCTAGAAAACTGAAACTGAAAATAGTTGACGCTCACAAAGCTGGAGAAGGCTATAAGAAGATAGCAAAGCATTTTCAGATGTCAATATCCTCTGTTCGGAATGTAATTAAGAAATGGCAGTCATCAGCAACAGTGGAAGTTAAAGCAAGATCTGGAAGACCAAGAAAAATATCAGACAGAACAGCTCGCAGGATTGTGAGAAAAACAATTCAAAACCCACGTTTGACTGCACGATCCCTCCAGAAAGATCTGGCAGACACTGGAGTTGTGGTACACTATTCCACTATAAAGAGATACTTGTACAAATATGGTCTTCATGGAAGAGTCATCAGAAGAAAACCTCTTCTACGTCCTCACCACAAAAATCATCATTTGAACTTTGCAAATGAACATATAGACAAGCCTGATGCATTTTGGAAACAAGTTCTGTGGACCGATGAAGTTAAAATTGAACTTTTTGGCCGGAATGAGCAAAGGTACGTTTGGAGAAGAAGGGGCACAGAATTTAATGAAAAGAACCTCTGTCCAACTGTTAAGCATGGGGTTGGATCAATCATGCTTTGGGGTTGTGTTGCAGCCAGTGGCACAGGGAACATCTCACGAGTAGAAGGAAAAATGGATTCAATAAAATTTCAGCAAATTTTGGATGGTAACTTGATGCCATCTGTGAAAAAGCTGAAGTTAGAGAGAATGACTTCTACAAATGGATAATGATCCTAAACACACCTCGAAATCCACGGGGGATTACATCAAGAGGCGTAAACTGAAGGTTTTGCCATGGCCTTCACAATCTCCTGACCTCAACATAATTGAAAATCTATGGATAGACCTTAAAAGAGCAGTGCGTAACAGACAGCCCAGAAATCTCAAAGAACTGGAAGACTTTTGTAAGGAAGAATGGGCAAAGATACCTCAAACAAGAATTGAAAGACTCTTGGCTGGCTACAAAAAGCATTTACAAGCTGTGATACTTGCCAAAGGGGGCAGTACAAGATATTAACTCTGCAGGGTGCCCAAACTTTTGCAGACGCCATTTTTTTGTTTTTTCTGTTATTTTGAAAGTGTAAATGATGGAAATAAAATCTAACTTTTGTTGAAATATTATAAGAATGTCTAATCTGTAATTTGATGCCTTTTGGAGATTTTTCCATCTTTCCTTGGCTTCTTTATGCACAATAATACAAATTTTTAGCTGGGGTGCCCAAACTTTCGATCCCCACTGTACATAATCTTGGGATTTGAAGTTAAGCAGGAATACACGGTAAGAAAATCGACTGATCGGTCATCCGATGACCGATCAGCGTTCGTTTGCTGGTCAAACTCGTGGCCCACATTAATCAATCGAAAAAATCGTTCATCAAGCAATACGTAGTGTTGACATCTTCCGTACAAGTGGAAGTGATGTGTGCATGTGACCTTGTAGCCACGCCCTACCACTCAGAATGAGCGTTATCCTTTGTGACCATCATTAGAACGTATTATTAATAGATACTTTGCTGGCTCTGAAGTGGAAGCATCTTCGTACGCCCGTTGTTTCTTCACGAATGTACGGTTTATATTCAACATGGATGAGGCGCAGATTTAATAAAACTTGTATAATTACACTTGGTGTTTTGGCTATCCAAAAATATAAACATCGGACAACTTTGCAATCCATACATACAAAGAAACAAAAACAAATAAGTTCAGAAATTAAATGTGTAATATAATGGAATGATATGTCAATAGCACCTTTAGAAATGTATTTACCTTGAAAAACGGTGACATGTTCAATAATTTACCCACTGTATAATTGAATAAACAGTATGATCTATATCTTAAACCAAAAAAAAATTAGAATAGAATTTTGATATATACACAACAATTAACAGCAATGAGTATAATATAGTTGATTACATTAACTATATACATAAATAGTGATACATAAAATATAATATGCATAATTCTGGTTTCATTATCTCATTAGGCCAATCTACTTTTAACATTTGGATTTTTCGTTTGTGTTTACGAAGATTCCTTGGACATAAACATCTGGGTCATCTTCTGTTTCACTCATGCGTGATAGCGCTTGATAGATTTTTTTTTGGACAACCATCATACCACTGCATAGAAAATCGGCTATTCTCATGCAAAACGACAACATTTTTCACTTTTGTTCAACCGGATTGTTTCATTCACAATATCGCTATCGGTTATAACATCCTGCTCATCAACGAAGAGAAAATCGGTCGATCATTTGATCAACGAAATTTTTCGTACGATTTTCTTACCGTGTATTCCTGCCATTAGTCCCTCATGGGTACATTCAAAGTCCAATGTTTTTTGGGGGGTTGTTTTTATACTTTTACAATGGTGGCATGGTACCACTGAGGAAATGCTTTGATTATTGATTATTGTTACTGTTTTGCAAAGCTTGTTCTTGGGTTACTTCTACTTTATACAGCATAAGTGGACAATAACAGCTATGGTAATGAAGCTGCTGACAGCCTGAAGTTACATCATATAACAGATTCTACACCATCTGTATATCCTTTCTCCGTAAATTAATAAGCTAATTTCCACTGAAAGGTCCAGAATAAAAATATGTATTAGCCTGTTTCCCAGGCGCATACATGCCTATAGTTTTAACGAGACTTATCTACACCTGGAAATTTGTTTATAGAGGACAGACACATTACACAGTTCAGTACTGTTTTCTTGTAGACAGATTTACCTCCCTATCTACAGCAATATGATGTGACACTGTATGT